ATATATATATAATAGTATTATTATATCAATAGGTAGGGCCTATATATAATATATACAGTAGCTTCATATTTATTTAGCGATTGAGGTTTCTGTCTGCTTGATTATAAATTCGTTGCTATTTGAAAAAAAAAAAATATATATATATATATATCTTTTTTGAATAAAAGGAGTAAACTACAGGTATGTAATCCCAGAAAAGAGGTTTCCAATCCAAACATTTTTGACTGTCCACTTCTTTCACTTCTTCAAGGATTCCTCGACCTTTTATAGACCCCACTTTTTTTTATTTTGCTAACACATCCTGAAACTGGCTTAAAGATCAGAAAATCATTTTCATAATCATCTTTGAAATCAGCAATAAGTTTTATTTTACTCTTCAAACGTAGACATTTTAAACCATTTTCAATGGTCTTCAGGCTTATTTTTAAGATTCGAAGTTTCCCAACGTAAAGGAATACGGATATGAATTGTTTTTTGGTTAATGATCGTGTTATTACGCGATAGTATGTACTTTTCGGTGGCGGTGGCCGAATGGCCGCGAGGTTAAGGTGTCAGCTTACCGCTCTGGGGAACCCGGGATAGAATCCGGACTAGGTCGAATAATCCCCAGGAATTTTTCGAGGGGTGATCCGTCCGGCTATGTCGGGCCCCGTTCCTCACCGTCCTCCCGCTCCGTTATGAGCCTGGCTGGACCCATAAAGGGCTTGCAAAAAGAGGCCTTCTTAGTGCTCACAGGCGGAAAGAGCTTTTAAAAAAAAGTCAGTCAGTTACGATATACAATTGCACAAGCAGATATTATAAACTTATTTTCCCAAAATCTATAGAATTCCAAAATCCCACAAACCCCCGTGACTAGTATAAATTAAAATGAAAAGTTTTACCTATATTTTATTATTCCATAACGCAGGAAATAATTTGTTATTTATCAACGTGACCAATGATATTCTTCAACAGTCCATTCTAAATTAATGGAATCAGTACATGGCACATTGTTCCAATAGGAAGAACATCCGAGTAGACCAACAATAACACAAACATTTTAGGAACCAAAATTATTTTTAGAAAAAATTGCAACACATCAGATATTAGGGCCTATACACTTCTTAACTTTATTTAAATTGGACATTAATATTTTAAAATGTGACGAGACTATGTTTGCACACCTTAGAGGTATGAAGGAGTACATGTCAGGAGTTGCAATTTGGCACAGAGTATTTGGTGCACAAATCTTGCGCACATAAAATAAACCAGACTTGTAGGTGGTCAGGGAACCGAGAACCGGGTCAAAAGAAAATACGAAATGCTGAGACTGTTTCATAATATTGTATAATTTGTATCTATTAATTTTAGTTAGTCTTAGCCTTTTCTTGGTTCCTTTGTCTTCCCTTTTCCTAGAACTTTCCTTTTCAACCCTTTTTCTTTGGGTGGGATTGCCGATTCCAAGAAATGAGTAGTAGAATAAAAGAAGAAGTAAGGCCCTGGGGCCAAAAAAAAAAAACGAGGGGAGAGGCAGTTTGGGCTCGAATTCCGAAGAGTAAGGATGAAAAAGAGGTAGTGCTCCAGATCGAGTGTAAGACGATTGAAAACTACGAGGAGCCAAGGAATCGACAGGAAGGAATTCCTATAAGAGAACTTTGAAGGAAGCTATTGAAAGAATCATACGAAAAGTCTACCGGAAGGACGAGAAATAACGTTTCAAGGAAAGCTTCAAAGTGGTGTCCACCTAAGATTACGAACTCAAGAAAATCCCGGGTATTTCCATCTTCCTTTCATACAATTCTTATTCGTCTACTCTCTTCCTTTTTTAGTTGTAAGTAGTATAAGTATTAATTATAAGTTTCGCCCCGCGTATAGTTGTCGGCTCAATTAACCCGCTGTTTGTTATATCAAATTTTAACACCTGTGTGTACAGAAACCATTTGTAGTGTTGCAATTCAAAAGAAAAAAGAACCTGTTCGAAGCGATAATAAATTACTTTGTGTCGAAAAATCTAACTAGTATTTATTTGTACCATTCCGCTCGCGGGACTCGTACTTGTCGCAACGAACATCACACTACAAACAGGCACGAGTGCGAGATTTGCTCATGCATTGCTCGCGCTCTCCGAAGCATAGTCTCGTCCCAAAAATGGCTTTGACGTTTTATTTGTTTATGTCTGTGTAGGAAAATCATCTATTCAATCATTTATAATAATGTCTATAATTCTTAATCACGATAGTAGTTTGTCTACGTTGTTGATCACGAGAATATAGTAATAATGACAAAAAGAATGTGTATGTATATGAAGAAACTTTTATGAAAATTGCACTTCAATTAATCCACTTAAATTTCAAATAAAAAGAAAATATAAACATTTTTATTATAATATAACTTTTTTTAAGATCGGTTTTTTATGTTTTTGTAACTGTCACTTTTATTGAATTGCAATTTAAAATTAATAATAATAATAGTAATAATAATAAAGGTGACCGTGGCCTTACTAATATAGTTAACCTGCACTATAAACAAATTCAGACACTACGGAGTGTTTCCACAAAAAACAAGAAACGTCAAAATTACATAAAGCTATAACTCTGGCAGATAATCATACTTCTTTAAACTTACACTCTGAGCACCTGGACATAGCTCAACACAAAAAAAACAGACACCACTCAGCAGTCGTGGGTCCAAAGGCACATCATGGCAGGCATGCCTATGACTTGTTCAGGACTACGTTGACAAAACTGCATCCAGACTACTGGCTGACTAGGATTGCTTGTTTGGAGAGACTGATGTTTTATGGTTGCCATTCAAGATCAGGTTATAAACACTAAAAACTATATAAAACACATCCTGAAAGATTCATCATTCACAAATGACTCTTGTAGAAAATGCCACATTCTGCCGGAAACAATACAACATATTGGTTGTATTGGAAACAATAACCTCTGGTTGCAAGCTCTTAGCACAAACAGACTATTTACATAGGCATAATCAAATAGCAAATATAATACACCAAGAGCTTCCACACAAACACAGATTATTAAACACCCAGGTACCATACTACAGATATACTCCACAGGCAATATTAGAAAATGACATACAAAATATACTACGACAGAGCCATAATCACAGATAAAACAATTCATCACAATAGACCTGACATCACTCATTGATAAATGCAGCAAGATCACTTATATAATAGACATTTTCATTCTAAACACGAATAACATAAAAGATGCTCACTTTGAAAAAATCAACAACTACACTCGCTCAAGAAATGATAGATGTCCTCTCTTCTACTAGTGTTATAACACATACAGTACACAAAAGTCTAGAAACATTAAACATTAATAAAAACATTTACATGGCACTGCAGAAAGCTGCAATATTGAACACATGTCACATTGTTAGGGTTTCTAGACGTTCACACATAAACCAATAACACAGCACTTGTTTGGGTAGCTATACCTTGACTTTAGTCTGTCATAGCACTTTGCACCAGTATCAACTGAGAATGACGTTAGCAACATAATAATTAATTAATTATATATAATATCATATATAATTAATAATAGGCCTATGTATATTACAAAAAATCCAGCGACAAGTTGCTTAACTTTCCCGGCAACATTTAAAACTGCGTGTGGCGCCATCTAATATGATATTTTATCATTAAAAATTTTATATTTTTAATTATTATTTTATAATTTTGAGCGCAGGGATGGGTTCTTTTTAAAAATGTAAATGCTAATAACGAGTAAACTCGTTATTAAGTCCGATCCTAATGGAGATACACACGACCCCCTTTATTTCCCCACTCCGTCGACTTTTCCTCACTAAAATTTAACAGCATCAATCCCCATAATAAACAAACATCCCTGAAAAATTTCAGAAAATTTCGACAAAAAGCACAGGAGTTATTAAGCTTCAAAATCGTGCCCCCAAATAAACACCAATTTTTTCAATTCTTGACTTTTCACGGCCCTCCTAGTTCAAAAATGTAAAAATTCTGGGGGGAGGGTTATTTTTGACGATCGCCATACTTTTCCCGTTATTTATAACAGCCGGGAAAATAAAAATGGGTAACACGTTGAAGAGTTGATTAACATGACATATTTTGAATACTTAATAATCACATGAAAATAAATACAGTGTTAGGCCTATATGAAAATAAAGAGTGGACTATTTCTTCTTTTTATAATCTTTAATTTCCTATGTACAGTACTTGTACTTGTAATAAACTACTGTAATAATAAGAAATTGCATAGCACAAAATAAAAATATACAATAATAATAAAAATAGAAAATCACTATTTGATATTTACACTTTAGACATTAATAGACAACAATTTTCAAAATAAATTCAAATAGAATTTGATGATATATAAAATGGATATATGTAGTTATAAAAAAATCATTTTAATCTGTTGTAGACCATCAGATTTCAGAATTACAAATAAAAATATTAATGCTGTGTTTTAAAATTGTATTCGCATCCTAGATTTAAATCATATTTTGCTTACAGTATTTGTAAGATATAGAAAANAAATATATATATATATATATTCTGAAATAAATATATTTTAGATTTATTAATATAAATTTCCAAAAAGTAGACTATTAATTAAATTAATTTAGAAATGTTTGTATTTTCAAATAAGTAAAATGTATGAGTTTATTAGGGGTTTAAAATAATTTGCATTTAAAAATATAAAGAATTTATATAGATTTAGTTTCACTTTATCCGAAAACTTTTAAATAAAGCATTTATCATAAAATCGATCACTTCATTACTGAAGATTTATGGTATTAAAATTAACCATAACTATAGAAATTTAATAACATTTTGCAGATTCAAAATAAATAAATATATATAAATATTTTAAAAATGATTTAATAAATATTCAATTGAGTGAGTGCTATAAGAAAGAAAAATAGTTGTGGGAATATATCCGTGAGAAAATTTTGATTTACGAAATTATTAATAATAAGCTTTAACTTATGGCTTATATTTTTAGAAAACTATTTAGAAGATCACGAAAAATTGCTAATGGAGTGTATTTTAAAAAACGAATTAGTCATGCTAACTGTTTTTCGAAGATATTTTAAATGGAGATAGAAATTTTGAAAGCAGCCAACCGGACCGATAAGAAAAAATTATGTCTAAACAACTTATAAACGCTGTAATATATCTTCATCAAATGTATAATGGAATCCTTAAATTTTTTTGGAGGTAAGTTTCATTTTTACTTCAGTAATTTAAACATATTATTCTCTCAAACTAAACGTAAAAACAATTAGATCCAAAGATAAGGATGGATCAATAAATAGCCAACCGGGGCAATATTCTTCGTTGTTGCTTTTGGTTGGTTATTTATTGATCCGCCCTTATATTTTTATTGACTTATGATATTTCTTTATTAATTCATGTGTATATTAGGAAAATTAAATGATTTAAAATAAACCCATCTCACTTTTAACAATATATTGCTGAAAGTATGTTGTAATTAGCGAGTGGAAACTACAGTATTTAGTGTAAACAGAATTCGGAAGTTGACTCATGTTAATCTTCAATAGTAATCTAATTGCACGATTATATAAATATCATACAAAAAATATACAGATTTAATTTAAAAAAATCTAAAATTTCCAATATGAAAAACTCGCGTAACATTTTTTAAATTTATAATTTTAAAATTCATTCACTTGTTTTATACAAAGTAATTCTAACAGCTTAAGTTAAATAAGCTGTAAGTAATTACCGCTCATCTAATTTTTACTTAACTTATTGTAAGTTTTGTTTTTAACTTAATGAATATTTAAAAATAACATATCGGTTATGATGAATAATATGTTTTTTTTAAATGTTTTTTCCCCATTAATACAGTATTTGAAACTTAATAAAATTTTAAATGAATATATTTTTAAAAGGAGAATTACTCGCTTAACCAGTTTTATCTAGCGATTTCGGTAGTCATTTAAAATGTAACGTTGTAAAAAATGTTAATGTAACATATGTTGGAAAATAAGTTGAATATTGCTTAAGTAACAGATGGAGGAAATCGTGGGTGGTAAACAACATCGATTTTTTACGCGCAAATATAAACGTATAGATAACTATAATTGTCTTTTAATATAACGTAACTTATTTAAATTTATTTTTCGATTACCATTTGAATAATTCGTATCGAATTAACGAATAAGTAAATTTATTTGGTTTAAAATATAAATACGATAAAATCAACAAGTTTCGATATTTAAAAACAAATGTTATCCGCCGTTTGATTGGTTGATCGGTAAACGTATCGACCAACAGAAAGAGTTGATATATCGAACTGGAAGGGAAAAAAAGAAATAGTTGATGCGGAGTCGATGAACGAAGTTTTGTTTGTTTATGATGTAGAATTGATGAACTTCTGTATAATATTTATTACAGAATTAGGCTGAGACAAAATGTTAAAGATATGGATGTCATGCTCGATGGCTGGTTAATTAAACTGAGCGAAAGACGTTTGTTTAGAAGAACGGTAAGTGAAATTTCCATGTTTGTTTCATATTTACTCGATAAATTTTTCACATTTCACAAATATTCCGATAAGTATTAATTCTAATTCGACCTTGGCTAATTTGCATTGACCTTCGTAAAGTATACGTGTTAAAAGATCAAGATTAAACCTGGGAAAAATGCCGCGTATTGTCGGTTAAACTGAAACATTTTATATGTAAATAAACCTTAACGTCAATATATTACGAAATATCGTTAATCGATCTTGAGTAGAGAATTAATAGAGAGAACTCGATACAGATCGGCACATATGCTGTTGGGGCTGTGGAATATCGAGGCCCCCTCGGATAATTAATGCGCGAAATTCTAAATAGACTTACTGAGTCACGTACGAATAATAAAACTTTAATTTATTCGTAATAAAGTGTTTTAATATCAATTTATTTTATAATTGATACTTTCTTTATTATCTTTCAAGATAATTGATGGAAATTTTAATTGTAATTTGCTCTTATTTATAAAATATACAAAATTTCTGTTACATTCGTGCATTTATTTTATTTAAAAAAATCATTTAAATCATCATCTATACTCTAATATGTAATAAAAACTTTCATGTTAAGAACTAAATGGATAAATGGAAGCTTGTGGATTAAAACTTAAGAAAATATATTTTATTTTTTATTATAAAACTCATTAAGAAGCTTTTTACTTTCAAAACATTAAAATATATAAAAATTCACTTTCACATTTCCAATATATTATTAAGTTATATGAGGAAAATTGTATTGTTAGTAATTAAAAATGAGAGAAGTCGCAAATGATGAATAATGGTTTTAAGAAAATGCCACATAAATTTGTTGTCGAATTTATATTCTGAAAAAATAGTTTCGAATTTGACGGCAAATTAAGTTTAGAAAGTTAATAATGCAGACTGAGATAAAATTTAATGGTTGAATAGCTAAGAAAGAAGATAAACTGAGTGTACCAGGAAAAAAAAAAAATGCTGTTTGTGCATCCAAAATAGCCTAGTCAAATGTTAAAAAAAATTTTGTTGTTGAAAACTAATTTAATATTTTTAGAGCTATTACTTATGGGTTAAAGGAAATTAAATAAAAAATTAAAGAAAATACAAGTTAAATAGTATAACAAGTTTGATTATGGTTTGAGACTCTCTATTGAAATATAGAATAGTTTATTGAAACAATAAAACATACGGTAAATAACAACAAAAATAAATATCAGTTTGAATTTAATATTCTAAAAGAGAGTTTTAAAATATGCTTTTTCTATTTAAAAAACTTTGAGTTCTTTTATATACAATATTTTAACAGGATAATTGCTTTAAGCATAAATTATTTATTGTGAGAAACAACTTCTCAGTTGAAATGTTATAAGGAATTAAAATTATTTCCAATCACCAGGCTTTTTTTTTTAATTTGATTGTTTTTGATATCATTTGGTAACTTGTCTTATTTTCTTCAGTGTATTAAAAAAACATGAAATTAAATTAGTCATACAAATGAACTTAAATGTTAGAAGAATGGAACAAACTGAATCTGAATTTTGTGAGAAATTAATACAATTCATACTAGAAAGATTTCAAAGTATTAAATGACAGAATGTATAACTGAATACTAATATTTATAATTTAATTCTAAATTGTTACTTTTTATAAAATATAAATATCTGAGTGAGGTGAAATCAGTACATTATAATTTAAAAGCATTTTATAACTTATTTTTAAGAACTGTTTTAAGTTAAATAAACATTATTTATGTAATAATAAAAGAAACATTAAAAAGAGATAATGCCAGGTTTCATACTATAAAAATTAAATGTTATATTTTACAAGGCCAATGAAAAGTAATTTTGGTTCAGGAAACCAAAATTACTTTTCATTCAGTAATGCTTTAGCCATTCTAAAATGTCAGTAAATAAAAAACAATTTTGGTTTTCTGAACTTAACAGTTTGGTCTTGTAAACTAATTTGTATGATAACATCCATTAATCTGATATATTAGACTTGCCAAATGATCTACTAGATTTTTTATCAGACTATTTTAAGTCTAATTAATATTCTGAAATAAGCCTACTTCTGTCCAAATTACTTTGTTTGGGCAATTTTAAGTCTAATTAATAATCCAAATCAAAAATCCAATAGATTATTTGATAAAACTAATTTGTTTAAAATAACAGCTTGTATTTATTATAAACAAACAAAACTACTGCACTCTTAGAACCTATAACTGGTGTGATATAAAAACAAAGGATAAAGATCACCACAAACGTTTTCAGACTGCTGTGAGTTCCACCAGGCGAAACTCGTACACACAAGGAACACCTTAAGTGGCTTGAGGCCATTCAAATTTACAAATCATCCCTTAATGACAATTGTATCAATTTTAAAGATGAGTTGGTTTTGTCATGGGCCTGGCAGGCGTTGATGGACTCCAAACTTTAAGGTCACAATATGTCAACTAGACGAACACACATGCCTCTCACATAACACCTTCTAATTGTTTCTTGAATTTCCTTTAACGGTTTGCTCTGTCCCATCAGTAATTCAGTTTGACACCTGAGGAAGAACTCAGAGCAGTTCGAAAACATTTGTGGTAATCTTTATCCTTTGTTTTTATATCACACTGGTTATAGGTTCTAAGAGTGCAGTATTTAACACATCCTTGTGTTTTGCAGTGTAGTGTAGTACAAACAAAACTTTTTGATTCTCATGTAGAATTTCAAGATATTTTTATCTGTATAATTAGTCTTATATTAAAATTTAGGAAACTTTTTATAAATGCTTTTATCATTATCAAATACTTTTAAGTACTGTATTTTCATACATATAATCAAAGATGACATACACTTCGTAGAAAATTGTTATATCAAAATTAAAATCTTTCGTAGCCTGCCCCACTATTCTGTATCTGTGAGAGCAGCATAGTGCTCCATATGCATAAGTTTGTGATTGCAGCTTTAAATTGGCATATAACGTGCACCCTTTCAAATTGTCTTTCAAACTATTCCCACTTCCTCAGCTGTTTACTTACAAATATAATCACACACCAAACACTTGCTGAGCTTATTATTAATTTAATATTCAAACGCTTTCAGCCTACTTCTAATAGGCCATCCTCAAGAAATTACTGTTCTACTATCGAATACAGAGCTTTCAAACAATTTTTAAATTTAAAATTTTAACATATTTTTAAAATTCCAAAACGTAAAATACTAAATATTTAACCAAAAATAACATATTACATACAATGTAAAAATAAACCTATATAATGTATAATATACATTAAACGAGTTAAAATACAATCGCCACCAGTTTAAGGGTTTTTAATTCCCATTTGTTTTTCTATCACGTATTTCCATGCTGTTGGAAGAGCATTGGCGTCCTTGGCGTTTAAGCAGTTGTTATTTATTTTGCTCTTATATATCTCCATTTTTTCCATACCAAAGGCAATAGTTGGGGAATGGACTGGTTTAATTATCTTTGCCTCATCCCACTTTACACTTGCTCTATCCGTTTGTGCCATAATTGCCAAGATGGTGTTGTTGTGCCCTTTACTGACGTCATACATGTGTTCTTTTATATGCACCTCCAGGTTTCTTGTGGTGACACCCACATAATCTTTCGCTACTCCTAATTGTTGATTTTCTAAAGGAATTCTATAAACTCCAGCCTTTTCTTTCATTCCTACCTTGTCCTTATCATTCCTTAACAATCTGTAGATGTTTGGCGCCCGTTTATACACAGTTCTCGTGTCTTTATACATACATAATTCTTCTATTATTCCCTCTACATTCTTGTTATATGTAAATTTATTAAATCTATTTTTTCTACCATCCCGTTTGCTTGCCCCTTGTTTGTAACCCTTGATCAATCTGTTAATTGTAGACGTATTGTATCCTAACTTTTTCGCAACCTTCTTGATTCTGTTAATCTCGTTAAGTCGATCCTGTATGTTGGTGCAATATAAGAATGCTCTTCTTATAAGTGCCTTAAACGATGACATCTTGTATCTGAACGGATCATTAGACCATGCCGGAATATATAGAGGAGCATGTGTGGGTTTTAAATACACTGCTGTTTGTACACATCCTTGCTTGAACTTTATGTCAATGTCCAAAAAATGGATCTGCGTACGGCTTTTCTGTTCCAGTTTTAGTTTTAACCCATGATTATTGCTATTTATCATACTTAAAAATTCTTCAATTCTTTGTTCATCCTTCCAAATTATCAACACATCATCTACATATCTTTTGTATAATATAATGTCCTCCATGAATTTTCCTAGGACCTCCTTTTCGAGTTGATGCACCACCAATTCACACAAGAGTCCCGACATGGGACTCTACCCCTTGGGACGCCCTTCCTTTGTTTGTACACTATCCCATTGAACACAAAAAAGGATTGGTAACACATTAAATCCGCTAGCTTATTTAAGTCCTCCATATATGCTGATAACCCTGGATTATGTTGTACTATAAACTCAATAAGAGAATTGAAACACGATGTTAGATTTATGGAAGGGTACATGCTTTCAAAATCCATTACTTTTCCTACCTCATCATTCATTAAAACCAACTCCTGTAACTCTTTTACCAACTTATTTGGATCATGGGCCACAAACATATTATCCTCCAAGTCTTCGTAAATATACTTTTTTAATCTCCTCTCAAGTATAAAAGTTGATGCACTACATTTTTCAACTAAAGCTCTGTATTCGATAGTAGAACAGTAATTTCTTGAGGATGTCCTATTAGAAGTAGGCTGAAAGCGTTTGAATATTAAATTAATAATAAGTTCAGCAATATTTGTGTGATTTTTTTTATTTTTTTATTTTTTATTATAGAAGAGGCTGTCTTTCGACTTAGCCTTAGAGGAAGGAGGAGGTGGGGGATGAGAGGCAGGGGGGATGGTAGGTGGGGTGAGAAAGACAGTGAGGTGGGGGTG